ATTCTATTATCTCTGAGATCTGCACACTACACACCACTAGGTCACACCTGTCACACTAATTGTTGTTGGAATGTGTGCTCTTTATACCACAAACCCTAGATCACACCTGTCACACTGATTTTAGCACTTGTTGCTGAAAAGTGTGCTCACACCACAAACCCTACTCCTACAACTACCTGAAATCTCACCACTATATAATCATATCTCTTCCTTCAAAATGCATAACAGATATCATGCACTGAAATCTCTTACCTTATCGCTGAAGTAACACCCATACGAGCAAGAGAGCAGGAGAGCAGTCCACACACAACAGCCGCTTCACACATAACAGCCACACACAACAGCCACTGCCCACACAGTTCGGCCCTCTATTCTTCCTCTACTAGGAGAGGGCGATCTCAGAAATCACAGCAACCGACCACATACGACCTGACTGGAGGCATAGAAACCCCCAAGGGAAGAGGGCGATCACTCCTTTTCAGCCCTTTCCCTTATCTCCAATCGAACACAGAAAAAAAAGGAGGAAAACCCTAGATAAGGTGCGCAAAGAATGAACCCTAGGCAAGCAGAAATCTAGGCAGATTTAACCTAGCTCTGATACCAAGTTACAATTCAGGTCTGCCTTAGAGTTCGGCCTGACTGAGTTCAGTTATGTAGAAGAAGAAAAGGTGATAAAGAAAGAGAGAGAGAGAGAGAGAGAAGAGAGAATTCTGGTTCGAACTAAAAGAGTCAACATGACTTCTCCCAGTCGGCCAGTAAGTATTTATATTATTATTAAAACAWGACTGAAAARAMCTATGTGCCCTTACTTAAGTTAAGAGCACATGTTCCAACACAACATTACCAATCAGCAACATCAATCAAGGTATAAAGACAGAAATACCCCTACGCTAACAGTTCCTTTGGACAGACCCATATTCATGACCTTGGGCATATAATAACAGGTGGGAAAGTTTGTACAGACCCGAACAAGGTTTCAAGCATGGTCAACTGGCCTAGACCATGGAACCAAAAGTCACTTAGAGGGTTCCTTGGACTGACTGGTTACTACAGACGTTTCATAGCTGGTTATGGTATGTTGGCCGCACCTCTCACTAAGTTGTTGAAGAAACAATCCTTTACATGGGACGAGGCGGCAGAAGGGGCCTTCCAATCTCTTAAGAAGGCAGTCACATCGCCTCCCACCTTGGCTCTTCCAGATTTCAGTAAAGAATTTGCAGTGGAAACTGATGCTTCAGGGAAGGGGATTGGTGCAGTCTTAATGCAGAATGGGCAACCATTGGCCTTCTTCAGCCGAGCTCTATCAGCCCAGGCCCAAGCCAAGTCCACATATGAGAAAGAGTTGATGGCGATTACCTTAGCAGTACACAAATGGAGGGCGTACCTTCTGGGAAGGAGATTTACAGTGCGGACCGATCACCGAAGCATTAAACATTTATTGGAGCAGAGGATTCTCAGCCCAGAACAGCAAAAATGGGCCTACTAACTTCTGGGTTACGATTTTCATATTGAATATAAACCTAGGCCTTCAAATGAGGTTGCAGATGCACTATCCAGGGTAGAAGATTTCCAGCTGATGGGCCTGTCTAAACCCAATTACCCCTTGTATGACCTCATCCAGAAGGAGGCACAATCAGATCCAAAACTCAGCCGGATCCGATCCCAATGGAGCAAGGATCCCACTTTAGTGCCAGGGTATTCCATAACTGGTACTACACTCTTCTATAAAGGTCGGGTGGTAGTAGCCAGCAAATCAGAGTATCAGAAGGAGTTGCTCAAGCTATTTCATGACTCGGCTATAGGTGGGCATTCCGAGTTTCTCAGAACCTACAAGAGGATAGCGAGCCATTACTACTGGAGGGGAATGAAGCGTATGGTTCAGAGTTATGCAGCCTGTTGTGACATATGCCAGCAGCACGAGTATAGCACCCAGTCTCCTGCAGGTCTACTTCAGCCCTTAACCATTCCAGAACGAGTATGGGAAGACATTACCATGGATTTTATTACCGGGTTGCCTAAATCAGCAGGGAAGTCGGTGATCCTAGTGATTGTGGACCGCCTGAGCAAATATGCTCATTTCTTGGCGCTACCACAGCCGTACACAGCTTCCACAGTGACTCGAGCTTATGTCCAGGAGGTAGCCAAATTGCACGGCACTCCGAACTCTATCTTGACCGACAGAGACCCCCTCTTTATGAGCAAATTCTGGGATTCTTATTTTTCTGCTCAAGGAGTACATATGCTTCACACCACCAACTACCACCCCCAGACAGATGGGCAGTCCGAGGTGGTTAATCATTGCCTTGAAACTTACTTGTGTTGTTTCATCGGAGAGAAGCCCAAACAGTGGGCTTACTGGCTGCCATGGGCCGAATATTGGTATAACACCACATACCAAGCTTCAGCAGGGATCACTCCATTTAAAATAGTTTATGGGAGAGATCCTCCAGCCGTGCTTCCTTACGAGAAGGGGACTCCTACAGTGGCTGAGGTAGAAGGCCAGTTATTGGACAGAGATGAGATTTTGAGATCCCTCAAGCTGCATTTGCAGAAAGCCCAACAGCGCATGAAGTTAGCCTATGATCGCAATCATCGAGAGCTTGAATTTGCAGTTGGGGATTGGGTCTACTTAAGACTCCAGCCTTACCGACAAGCTTTGGCAGCCCGACGGGTTTGGCAGAAGCTAGCTCCTAAGTATTTTGGCCCATTCATGGTGATTGAATGAGTAGAGAAGGTAGCTTACAAACTGGAGCTTCCTATCTCCTCGAAATTACACCCAGTTTTTCATGTCAGCATGTTGAAACCATGTCTAAGTCCTACCACTAAGGTCAGCCCAACCCTCCCACAGTTCACTGAAAACGGGGACATATTGATTGAGCCACAACAAATCAAAAATATAAGGTGGGTCAAAATGGGCAAGAAGTTACACAAGCAAGCCCTGGTCGTGTGGAAGAACTTGCCACCAGAAGATGCCACATGGGAGGACTATGACAAACTGAAAGACCAATATCCTCACATCAACCATGAGGACAAGGTGTTTCTTGAAGAGAGTGGGACTGATAGGCCCTCGACTACCCATTCGAAACCATCACAGGAGACCCAGGCCCACGACATGCAGCAGCCGGGCCAAGCACGAGAGAAGCACTCGATCTCCCATGTGCAACCGCCACTGAGGTTTGTTTACGTGAGGAGGCCACGTCCCTCCAGTTAGTTAGCCGTCTCAGACAAGCCATGTGCAGGAGAGGCTGAAGAGAGAGTATAAGTATTGTATTACCTCACCGATTCTGGGCATGAAAAATGAAACCCTACTGATCTCCTCCATCTCTCCTCCTCTCTTCATCCTCTCCACTACTCTACTCTGTTTTCAGGAGGGTGAGCTCCCTCGAACCAGCTCAGGTTTTCAGATTATCAAAGTGATCTTATCAGATACCTTGTAAGGCCACTAATAGTTCAGCCCTATTAGGATCTCCCAAACCCACTGGGCCAGAGAATAAGGCTAAAATGTTGCAGTCCTTATCTCTCAACACGCCTCCTATTCCAGAAGGTCCTGGGTTACCCTGACTACTTCCATCAAAATTCAACTTTTAACTACATCTAGAAACCCTTTAGGGATGCAACTTGGGCAGGCCTAACCTGATCCAACCAACTCTTCCTAGGCTTGGATTCAAATTTTCAGGTTTTCGGCTGGGCCCAGGCCTAACAAAACCTTGGACCAGGCTTTTATTGTATTTGCCAAGTCTCATTCAATTGCTAGGGATGATCCATTCCCCACATTTTTCTACCTTCTTGTTCAATTTTCTTAGTCCCCTTCAATGGCCAAAGAAGGTAATTTAATCTGTTTGGAAATGTGCACAGTGCACTCCCATTTGAAGAGTCCTTACCTCAGCCATTGTGGAATTAGTGTTGAGGGGTATTGTGCCAACAAAAGAAATCAAGCAAATAAACTTGGGCCTATTATCAGGCTGGGCTTGGATTAAAGCATCGGGCATACTGATCTCAACCCAAGCTCAGCCTGATAATAAGCCCAAGTTTATTTGCTTGATTTCTTTGGTTGGAACAATACCCCTCAACACTAATTCCACAATGGCTGAGGTAAGGACTCTTCAAATGGGAGTGCACTGTGCACATTGCCAAACAGATTAAATTACCATCTTTGGCTATTGAAAGGGGACTAAGAAAATTGAACAAGAAGGTAGAAAAATGCGGGGCATGGATCATCCCTAGCAATTGAATGAGACTTGGAAAATACAATAAAATGGTGGCAAAATATCTGGAGCAGTTATGGAGATTGGCACATTTCCTAAATGATATTAAAGAAATCCTTCGATGGAATAAATGCTCAACTTAGATGGATTCAAGGAGAGATAAACTCACAAGAGGAACATCTAGTCAGATTAGAATTACAGTCTTTTAAAAGGCTTGAGTCGCTTGACTAGGCTCACAACAAAGTGCATTTTGCAAGTTGTGTCTCACTTGAACCTTAGTAACCCCTTTTTTTTGGTACTTGAACGGTTGAACCCAGGAGCTCACCTGACTTGTTGTTATGTTTTGATGAATTGACCTTGAATTTGATGCTCAGTAGGCAATTCATTATGTTTCAGGTTGTGCTTATGATGACCAGGGTTTAAACATTTAGCCTATGTAGGATGTTTACATGGTTGTATCTTTTATGCTAACAACACAATACTCTAACCAATTGAGCTAATAATACTTTTTGAAATATCATATTACTTTCAGAACTTGAAGTTGCATGTTCTTTTATATTAACTATTTCTTTGGATTTTTTTTTCAAAAGTGGTTCCACACTTTGTTCAAGCATGCATCTTACCTTGTGGCTTGCACATCAGGCTCTAGGAACCCCTAGCAAACAAACTTCAGCCAAACACAGCATCACCACAAAGGAAGTTCTCACTTTGTGCATTTGTTCTTGACATTGTTTTGCATGTCATTCTGAAAGCTATTTTAGATAAAATTAACTTGCAAACTCTTCAACTTCTCACCTCTGCTCAGCAAGATCTCAACAATCTCAGTATTTCCACTGCTAGCAGCAGAATGTAGCGGTGCCCAACCTTCTTCATCTGTACTGTTTACTACGCTAATAAATGCATCAACAGCTGACAGTGTCCTCACGACCTGTTCCCAAAAAATGAAGAAAATTGAAGTAATATTAATTCAACTGTAGCATAGAAATGGCTCATTGAATAACAAAGAAGAAGGGATAAATGGGGAATCCAATGTTACGACCCATTTTGTCCCATATTGGTAGCATGGGATGTTAATGCAAGGTATCCCACATCAGTAGTATAGGATGCTGTTGTGGGGTATATATATGTTTGGGTTCCCTCCCTCTAACAGCTAGCTTTTAGGGGTGAATTCTCCTAAGTCACATAACAAATGGTATGCACATAACATGGAGGCGGGACTGCAGAGCATGGTATATTTGTCCTATGTTGGTAGTATGGGATCCTAATGTGAGGTATCCCACCTCATCGGTAGTATGGGATTATGGGGTATATATGTGCTTGGGATCCCTCACTCTAACAGCTAAAGTTATCCTAAGGCACATAACAAATCCATAAATAAAAATACTAGACAAGAAACATGCGATAAAAGGAACTGCACTCTAATGACTAAGGAGAAGAAATGTCCATTACTATTAACCATAACTGGAGCCAAATTGAGCAAAAACTCTCTGTTCTTGCTCAATGCATTAAGCAACAGGAAAGAAATCTCTAGAAAAAGAAAAATGCAAAGTAAAAAGGAAAAGAGTTCTAAAACATCCTTATCCAAATGCGAAGCAAAGAAAATTAAAACCAGATTCTAGAAATATGAAAAACAGAAGATTTTCTAGATTAACTCCCCCAGATGCAAATGAATACCAGAAGAACAGAACCCTATAAGATTTCGAAAAGTGACCTCAGCATGACCAGATGAGACAGCGACGTGAAGGAGAGAACGACCGTCGTCGTTTCTCAACGACAGAGCTCTGTGAAGATGCCCCTGAGAAAGAGCTTTGAAGATCGAAGCGTCTCCTTTCTCAGCTGCTTTGAAGAGATCTTCGTCCTTGATTTGGTTCTGAAGAATTTCCGGTTTCGGAGAATCGATGTCCATCTCTATCAGGGTGTAGGGTTTGTTCTTACCGCCTTTTTCACTTGTGTAAAATGAGGAGAGAGAGAGGGAGAGAAACTGAGTTCAAAAGAAATATCAGTCATTCAATTTAGATCACCAATGTTTTCTTACATAGTCTGACTAGTCAACTATTTGGGCAGCTACTGATCATTTTGTTATTGATAGACCAGCGGGTTCGACAGCCGTTGATCGATCAATCAAGCGGTGTAAGCAACATGATGACGTATCCGGGCAAATTTAAAATTACCTTCCTTACTGATTAATTATTGTCTTGAATCACCCTTATTATTTCTAACGATATCCATCCGTTAATATTCCGTGACACATGACATCATCACGTGATGTATATTTTTTTAAACCCAATATTACCCTTCATCCCCTCTCCTTCTCCCTCTTCATCCTCCTTTATCTTCTTTTCTACAAATCGAGCTCCGGCCTCTGCCTTTATCTCCGTTTTCGTTTTCATCTCCGCCTCCACCTCCATCTCCGTTCCGTTAGATCCATCTCCTTGTATGTCTGAAACAAAACCCATTTCAATATCTCCAAATCCCCCGAGCCACCTACATTTGTAGAAGCATCATAAAAGTGCAGCTCCACTTTGAGAAAACCCTAGAAAAGAAACAGGTTGTCGATCTGCAAAAGGAGCATTGGAAGCTCTTATTTTTCTTCTTCACATTACCCATTTATACAATAAAAAAACCTCTTCCATCGACACAAAGATGTCAGAACTCGGAAGAGGATCATGGCCGCCGGAGCTACTCACATTTGCAGAAGCGTTTCCAATTAATAAAGTGCAGGTCCACTTCGAAAAAACCCTAGAGAATAAACAAGCTCTCGATCTACAAAAGAAGGAACTTTGGAAGATCTTCCGATTCTTCTTCATCTTTCCTCGGTCTAGTGTTCGCTACCAGGCTTAGTCACCCCGCCTCCAATGCTGGCACTGGCATTGGCACTACTGGGTCTCAACAGGGCTGCTCACGCTTGCCCACCTCATCTTCTATGTCTCCATGGCTCAGACCCTCCGTTGCATCAATGAATTCAAGCACCGGTGGAGATGCCACAAGCTGACGCTAGGGCTGGCCGCTACAACTTCCAGCAACGATAGTGATCTTCTTCTTCCTCCGCCCCTTCTCCTCTTCGTTCTCTGACGAGGGATGATTTAGCCCGACCTAGTAAGTAAAGGTCACGTTGACACAACCTATAAGTAGGATGACAACTCGGCAAGGGAGACTAGTCAGCAATTCGGGAGCTCGGGTATTCGAGCACCTTGGCATAGAGCCACCTCGGCACAAAGTCACCTTGGCACCAAAGCCAGTTCGACGCCCAAGTACCGAAGTGACACGTAATCAATTCCAAAAGCTTCTCAACGGACTCTGAATCTCCCGGGATCACGCTGCGTAACGACAAGCCTTATCCTCTCCCCGGATCCCCGCCCAGATCAAACGATAACGATAGACTTCATTGACTGGTATATTACTCTCCTTCTAAAGCGGAAACGGATTTCATCTACGCGGGCAGGCCGAGGATCCCAGAGTCATTTCGTGAGACCCACGACAGCTCGACTATATAAGGGCATCAACCCCCCTAAGGCTCAAATACGTGCGATTTAGTGCGTTCTAGCTCTCCTTATTCTCAAACTCTTAGTTTGCATATCCTATTACTAACTTAAGCATCGGAGCGACCTCACCGGGTTAGCCACCCTAAGTTCTCTGATACCTCATTTTCCTTGCAATTCGAGTGAGCTACTTGGCTACAGGCATCCAAGCTGCCTTACAGCTAGGAGCATCCAGATCGCGCACCATCAATTGGCACCGTCTGTGGAAACAATTGAAAGGTCATCCCAATCCTAGTCTCAATCTCACTCCAATCTCAACCTCAATGGCATCTTCCAGCTATATCGGAAAGAGCGACATGAACGTCATTGGGGGGCAAGAGTAGCAAACGGTCATTCCCCAAGGTCCCTTGGTGACCATTGGCCAGTTCACCATTCCCCTGACAGTCTCAGGGGTTCCATCACTGTCTGTGTCGCACACTACCCAACAGGTGAATGTCCCGCTCCCCAAGTGAACACCACGTTCTCGGAGCCCTCTGTGATTCCCCCTGGGGTCAGGCATTCCCAGTTTAACGACCTCCTCTAGAGCATCCGAACGATGCAGATTCAGATGCAACAAATTCACCAGTTCCAGCAATATTACTTATAACAGCAGTACCAACAGCAATTTCCACCGCTGCAGCCGAACCAACCAACAAATCAACATCAAGGACAAACTCAAAACCAGAACCAACATCGGGCCCATCAGGGTGTTCGCCAGTCTCCTCCTTGCGGTGAGAGAATTTCACAGGTGCCGGTCTCTCCCTCGGGACGAACCTCGCCATGGGGCAGAGTAGACGAACGGCGTACTCCCCCAACCTCACAAAGGGGGAACTCGAAGGATAGGCCCGAACCTAGCTAGCCCGAGAGGCATAGTCGACAGCTTCAGCATCAGGACAATGTAGATCGTCAGCTCAGGGCCCGAGATGCGGGCTCGAGAGGAGACCCCTCGGTACCTTGTGACAACTAGCATCGGTCACGCAACGAAGAAGAAACGGTGAGAAGGACCCCCGATCCACCTCGCCCCATCATTCGGAGCAAGATCGAGATACCTGACAACACTGAGGCTGGCAGCACAAATGCAACACCAGCAAAGAAGCAGCAGTGGCAACGTCGCAAGACTTTCCGTTCCTCAACAAGGAATAGCCCGCCAGTGAAACCCAACCACCCAGTAGATCGAAGCCAAGAAAGGGAAGAGGTAAGCTCGGTGGTCACAAAAACGGCACATGCTCTGTTGAGCCGGCCATCCCCCTATCACTCGAGCTCCTAGCGGCCCCAATGCCGAAAGATTTCAAGATACCACCGCTAGACAAATATGATGAGTCTTTTGACCCCCAATGATCATGTAGACGCTTTCTAGTCCCAGATGCATCTTGCCGGGGCCGATGAGGCTTGCATGTGTGTGGCTTTCTCCACCACATTCAAAGGAGTAATGCGGACTTGGTATAGGAACCTCGCGCCGGGTTCCATCAGAAGCTTGGTGCAATTCGCAAATATGTTTACGGCCCACTTCATCACCAGTAAGAAGTGCCCGAAGTCGCAGGAGAGCCTTTTGAACGTGGTGTAGAGGGAAGGAGAATCAATTCGGAGCTACATTAAGCGCTCCAACGAGACTTGCTTACAAATACCAGACCTCAATCCAGCGTTACGTCTTACCGCAGCTCGGAAAGGAATTACTCACAAGGAGTTCAAGTGGCACGTCGTAGCAAACAAGCCAAAGAACATCACCGAGTTCCTCAGGTTGGCCGATCAGTTCATCAGCACAGAAGAGGAGATTAACCAGAAGACAAAAAACCAACAAGGTGAAAAGAGAAAGAGAGAAGAAGAAGGAACGAGCAACAATAAACAAAAAAGGAAAAATAGCAAGTCCCCGAGGAGAATAAGCAAATCACCGTGCTCGAGGAGCAAGTTCCCCTCTCGAAGTGAACCAACTATACTCCCCTTAACGTGAAGCGAAGAGATCTTAATGGTTATAAAGGACTCCTCCATTGTCAGATGGCCATCCAAGCTATGAGGAGACCCAACAACCAGGAACCCGAATGTTTATTGCCACTTTCATCGGGACCAAGGTCACAGCACGAAGAATTGTAGAAACCTCCGCAACGAGATCGAGGAACTCATCCGTCGCGGGTATTTGAAAAACTACATTTTGCTCAAGGAGAAAGGGCTGGGGAATCGACAAGGAGATCGGAAGAAAGATGCCCCGAAAACCAGTAGGCAGAACGAGCAGTCACCTCGCCCACTACCTGAAGAAAGACCGATCCGCGGGGTGATCAATATGAACATCGGTGGATCCATTGTAGCGGGGTGCACAGCAACAGCAGGGAAGACTTCGGCCCGGGAACTGGAGCACGAGGCAGAAAACCCACCAAAGCGACCTTGGATAGAAGAACCCAATTTTTTCACCGATGACGATGCTCATAGGATTCAATATCCTCATGACGATGCCCTTGTCGTAAAGTTGATCATCAATGACTTCGAGGTGAAGCGGATCTTGGTGGACTCAGGCAGTTCGACCGATATCCTCTTAAAAGGAACTTTTGACAAGTTACAACTACAGTGGAGCGATATGAAACTGGCGGATACTCCATTAGTAGGGTTCAGCGAAAAGGAAGTTAAGCCTATAGGACAAGTCATAATACCAGTGGAGGCGGGCAAGTGGCCGAACATTGTATGGCTTGAACATACATCCTTGGTGGACGCGACTCTGTCCCCCTACAATGCAATTATAGGTCCGACCCATCACACATGCTTTACATGCAATAGTATCGACTTACTATCTCGCGATGAAGTTTCCGACAGATTGCGGGGTAGGGGTCATACAAGGCGATTAGCTCAAATCCCGTAAGTGCTACGTGGCTTTCCTCAATGGAAAAGCAAAATTGGCGAAAGACGTCGAACAGAAGCAACTAGTAGACTATACCGATGAGCAAGCTGCCCCGATGGAAGAGACAGTCCACATACCAATTTTTGAGACCGATCCGACCAAGACTCTCCAAATCGGTGCCCTGATAAGCGAACCGCTTCGAACACAACTAGTAAGTTTCTTACTCAATAATTTAGATGTTTTCGCCTGGTCCGCAGCAGAAATGCCTGGAATCGACCCTAGTGTGATAACTCATAAGCTTAATGTGGACCCTTTAGTCATGTCAGTTAGACAAAGAAAATGCAACATCGCCCCGGAGCAGTGGAGGGTAGTTGATGAGGAGGTTGGGAATCTCCTCACTGCAGACTTTGTTAGGGAGGTTCATTGCCCGAGTTGGGGTCGCCAACCCCGTGCTGGTGAAGAAAGCCAATGGCAAGTGGCACATGTGCGTCGACTACACCGACTTGAACAGAGCCTGCTCAAATGATTACTTCCCCCTGCCTAGAATAGACCGCCTGGTAGATGCGACCTCAGGGCATGAGTTTCTGAGTTTCATCGATGCCTACTCCAGCTACAACCATATTAGGATGGACACAACCAACCAGGATAAAACTGCTTTTG